AGTTTTAGAAATCAAAAACAATGCTGCACTTACCTTCTGTTGTATTTGGTTCAACATGCGTCAAAATGAAAAGAATTGTATGTAGTGTTTCGAGAATTAAAACTGTCAAGTCTCAACAAGTAAAAGAAAAATATTGATTCATTTTGAAGATCTTAATTTTCCCAGCTTAAGGTTGTATAGATGTACACAAGATCCATCCTCCAATTATTTTCATTAAGACTGCAACATTTTCTTTTAAAAAAAATGTACAAATTGCCAATAATATCTTAAATGTCCTATAAATTTACTTCAATGAGTAAAACATGTGAATTGAAAGTAGAGTTCGAAAATCTGAAAGTAAGCTACATCAAGATTAAAATGTAAAAAAAAAACTTTTTTCCATGTTCATTAGCAAAAATTGAATTTTAATTTCTTTTTGCAGTTGAATTTCAAGAAATCTGCTTGTCACCATTCTGGATTACACATTGACATTCTAAGTCTTACAAGCGCCCTACAGATCTTGTGACATATATACTATTAACCCAAGCAGTACCAAGGGTCACCAATTTCAACTCCCTTTTTTTACTTCCAAAATTAAATTAAAAAATGTTTTAAAATTTTTTATTTGTTACAAACATGGTAAAGTTCAGCTTCTGATATATTACTAAACTTCTGAGGTGGAATTATGTAGGCTTTAAATGAATTTTTGTTGGTGAGCATATTTTGCCCGATTTCAGAGATGAGATTTTTGTTTTTCATAATGGTTCAGCCGTGTTTAAATCAATTTAATGTCCAAAGTCAAGTTTTATTACCATCATCTCCTTAGTCCTAATATTTAACTACAGAATACTATTACATCATAATGTGCAAACTTGAATTTTAAAGCTACTTAATTCTAGATATATTAAACAATTACTCATCTCCTGCCAAAGATCAGATGCATTTAATTATTCAATAAAATATTTCATAAAAAGGACACTTTTTATTTGGTTTGTGTGTGTATGCAGAACTTTTGGGAAAATTAAGTGTGATATTTGTGAGTAATATACTGGGTGACAATGAAATTAGTTACAGTAATGTTCAATTGAGTCCTAGGAATGTCCTGAATTATATTTTGTGCTGGTGCATTGAATTCAAAAAACAATTATGAGTTAATTGAGTAAGAAGTCAGACAAAGTGAGACATGAAGGCAATTATCTTAAGACAAAACTTACTATTTGAATAGAATTCCAAGATATTAAATTCATATTATAACAGTAGTATGTATTCATTAAAATCTAATTTGTTAAACGAATAGTGGTATTGTAATATTTTTGAGAGGGGCAATATTTGCTCACCTTGGTATTACAAAGAGTTGAAAATACCTTGGTACTGCTCAGGTTAAGATATTGCGATATTTCCTTGAAAATAAACCTTAAATGAAAAAATGCAATCAATATGAAATAATTTTCACAAATTAGTACAAGCCCCATTCCTTTCTCTTTAGAGTAAGCTTCGATGCAGCCTTTATAGTTTGCTCCATCCAGCAAATTATAGTTTTACTTCTTACATTAGATTTGATGGTTCACATTTTATAAACAACAGCCCTTAGCCATTAAAAGTTGTTTGTAGAATGTCTCCACATTTTTCCCCAACCTTTCAAGACACTGGATTTGGTCTCTTATTCAAGAGCCCGAAAGTGTATAGCTAAAACAAAAAATTGCTGCTACGATAATCAAATCATACTTGCATTTCTTTAATCAATGTTTGAAAAATGTCAGCCAGAAACAGTCGTCAAATGAGGCTTGAATCTTTTTTCTGCTTTGTTTAGTCTTGCCCAGAGAAACGACAACCTATAATAGCAATTTTTATAATTTTGAATCTTCCTACTTAACACCATTCAACTATAAAATTTCATGTCAACCTATTAATAGCTACAAATTATTCTCAATTTCCTTCCAACTTCCATTACTCTTACTCTACCCATTATATTTCAGAAACTCAGCAAAATCATCATTTGGGATCTAATGATATTTGCAGAAATTATAATTCATTTGAGACTGACATGTGAAAGACACCATGGAATTCATCAATCACAGTGCTCAAAGTGGTGTGAAATACTGTTCTAATACTGACTGAAAACTATTTTGAGAGATGCAGTAATTTCACAAGCACCTTCAAAATTAATAACATTCGTAAGCAAATGAAACTATAATTTCAGAAGCTCTGTATGCGAAATAAAACCCCTTTTACCTACAAGAGATACTATTACATGCAATACCAATTTAACTGCTGATAGCAGACAATTTCCACAATTTGTAGCATTTATTACGGTGGTTTCGCAAGTGAAAATAATTGAAAAATATTACGTATCAAGAAGTTACTTAGTTAATTCAGAAATTATTTCATATGATAAAGAACACAGGGAACATCTGGGCAATGAAATTGTAAACTACAGCAAATAAGCCACATGGATGTTATATCTTCTTATTTTTGATGCAGGAAATACTTAGATCCTATTACAATTGAATTGAAGCAATGAATATAATGTTAGCTTGGAAATTTATTAATATATTTATTCCAAACAAATAAATTCTTTGCAAATACAAACGGTCTATACAATATTCATCTGAGCAAATGCCTTTCCATTCTGTACACTGATTGAATATTTCATTTGCATAATATCAACCATAAACACAATTCCATAATTCTGTTAATACTTTAACAAACAGCATCACACCAAACTTGATACACACTGAAAAAAATTCTCAAGCAATCACAGTTTTTCACACGTTTGATGCATATCCAAAATTTGTTCCTATGGAAAAATGCTTCAAAACCGTGCAGTAACAGTTTCTCTTTTAAATAAATATTGTGTAACAGTTGCAAGAAAGCTGTAAAGCTTTTTAGCAGTCTTCTGTTGTTTCTATGTTTTCCATACTACCTTCAAAACTGGCTGTATCAGTAGTTGAAGTTTCACTCTGGAAAGATTCGGAAGGATCTCGTTCTGGGGCGAGATTTTGTTCAGCAATTCGAGACTCTGGAGCTACAGTGGCACCGGAACAAGCATCACCTCCACCTTCCTCTTGTCGAGACGGTGGAACCGACATCACTGACTCCTCTTTGGAAAGTTCTTTGACTGACCTCATTTCCTTGTCCCCTCCAATTGGAAGTTCAGCTTGTTTATTCAACATACTGACATCTATTTCCTCAATTCTCTCCTTCTTTATTTGCAAATTTTCTTCAAATTTCTTTTCCACCACAGGACTTTGTTCAGTGGCAGTATGACTTACACCACGATAAGATGCCTTCATCTCTTCGTGATACACACACAAAGCATCTTCAAAGACTCCTGGAACTGGTTCACGGCATGGGAACCCTCCTTTGGTACGACCACATGGTCTATATAGTACCTGGTGGGTGTCTTGAAGAATGTGTTTCATGCAGTGTTTAGCTAATGGAACAGTCTTCTCTCCACATTTAACACCGCCTTCGGTAAACACACATTTTGTGGTAGGAGCTGTACGAACAGTCATCCCTTCAGTAGCTTGAGCTCTCCTTTCTAAACTTTTCTTGTGGAGAATTGCCTCCACACCACAACGTCGCTGATACCGGTTCAATGCTTTAAGCTTTCGATACAATTTAACCTCCTTGGGAGAATCCTTTCGCTGATTGTGGATGCTACACATTGTCTCTTTTTCTCGCTTCAGAGAGAGCAAGTATCGCCGACGACGTATTCTCAGCACTTGCTGAAGACGACGAAACTGATCGATATAAAGAGACTGCAAACGGATTAACTTATCTTTAGTCAGCTGAGCTGCTTCTTCAGCAGTATACACTCCAGCGTGCTGAAATGCAGAAAACCTACTGCTTTCTTCTAATGTACCATCCATACTATCTGCATCAGAGGAGTCAAGATCAGGACCAGACCATGTGCCATCATAAGTAACAACATCCAGGTCACTATCAGACTCACTGGCATAATCCAGAACTTTACTCATTTCAGCATTTACTTTTGACGCATCAATATCATCAAATGGATGCAATGATTTAGTCACATCAAGTTCTGAATCCTCCTGAAATTCTGCATCACCACCTCCACTGTGACTCACATTTAACGACACTCCATCTCCAGAAGTTCCGGCATTAGGAGTTCTAGCAGGATCATCTTTTGGTACATAGTGGCTCAAACCTAACATCAAGGATTCTGTAGAAAGCCGTGGAGCACGCCGTCTAACCGATTTTTGACGTGCGAGTTGTGCTCGGCGAGCATGCTCTGTACATAACCCACTATCTTTTTTGTCAGTGCGAAGGGTAGGCATTTGGCATCGGCGTCCGTTAGCACCATACACAAAGCTACATTGCTTATAAGGTGCACGCCTGTCTTCTAGAATGTGGCGAAGACAGTAATCGTAGTGTTCCAGGCATGGACGAGTGCAGGTGTAAGCCGCGTATGCGCAAGTAGGCTGTGAGGTAATCGCAGCCATCGAGGATGTGCCAGCAAGAGGCTGAGGTGGCTGCTGCCGCCCACTGGTTTGCGTACGCGCTCCTTGACTCATGGTATTTTATTACTGAAATTGAACACACTGGTATTACTTACAATTGCCACAGCAAACCAAGAAAATGAAGCAATTATGGCAGATATTCTGAAGACAGCTTAGAAGTCTTGCATACTCTATGCACACAGCATGAAACATTGATATGAGCAAATGGAGCAAGTTCACATAAAAGGCAGAAAGCTATTTCAAATCATAAAATGAATTTCAATAGTTTAAAAGCATCTTTCTCTCACTTTTTTTTTTTTTTTTTTTTTTTTTTTTTTTTTTTTTTTTTTTTTTTTTTTTTTTTTTTGCTGTAGAAACAGTTTCAGACAATTTTTAAATCAAAGAAACAATTCAAAATTAAAGCAATAATTTCTACGATTTTCTAACATTCATGGATAGCTCTAGGAATTCATTTCACTGCTCTTAAAATTCCAATAAGCAAAAGAAATTCTTTACTTTGAAAGGGCAATTCTGAAGGAATAACAAACTAAGAAACATTTACATTTTAACAGCTTCTGTATGAATCCAACCAAACAAAATATCTTTGATCTATGAAAATCAATTCAATAATGAAATCAAATTAACAGAACATAAATCACTGCAGATTAAATTCACAAGTTACAGGTACTACAAGCCATTTTGTGAAAACATGAATACACGACTTCAAGATTTAGTGAACTTTTACGCATAAATGTTTTTTTATTAAAAAGTGTAAAAACAATTTTATGGAAGAGAAATGACCATCTACAACAAGGGTCTGTTCTATAAATGTCTCAAACAATTTCTCAGTTGCTTCAGAATCAATTGATCAAAAATTAAATAATCCAGAGGTACTTGCAGCTTCACTTCACTCCACAATATTTATTGAAGAATTTAAAGAAATCACTTAACAAAATTAACGAAGTTACCAAGTTAACAAATGGCAGTGCAACGAAATTAATTTTTCTTTTCAGGTTCTGAACTGTTATTGTGTTAAATTAGTTTTGCAGCAGAATAAATGATTACTTCACACTTTAATTAGAGCATTTATTTAATTTTTAATTTTCTGGTCATTATAGTTTTAAATATTAACAACAACAAAAAAACAACAAAATGGCAGATTTTCCCGAAGATCTCTGGAATCCTTATAATATCATATATAAATAGAGAAAGGAGGTCTTCAAAACTAAGTTGTAAAGAAAGAGAATGTGTATTTGTATGGAAATATCATTTGAGTCAATGTGAGAATATGATTTCAATTGAACGTAATGACAGTGAAACTTATGTTTTGTTATGAAAAAAATCTTATGAAGTTGAATAAACATCAATTATCAAGTGGTTTCCTGCATTCCTATATTGATCTTTAAGTGAGAAATCTTTGGGCAATAACGTATCCAAAATACAAGACATTTAATTCGTACCTTTATGAGACTTTTGTTTTTTACTAAATTATCCACGATTGTAAATATTTATTAGTATTGCTTGACCCTCTTATTTCGAATTAACTTCGCAATTACATCATATTAAGCTACTTTTCGAAACATTTGTTCACAGTTTATTAAGTTCTATTTTCAACCGTAAGGCAGGCAAATTCCAAAGGGCAAAATAGGTAACGAATGTTCCTTAATGTTTTTTATTTAATAGGTCATTATTACATATACGAATTAACTTAATTGAATACACGTGGCTAAGCCGAAGGCCTGAACAACACACATACGCGGAACGTGTACATGGCAATGTACATTCCCATCATGGCATTAGCGAATGCATCGTTCCAAAATTCGTTCATTCACAAAATCCTAGAATACAAGTAGTTATTTTAAAACTTCTAGCAAAATTCAATTATTTTTTATACGATTTCGTAATAATACAATGATAAAGCACTGCGATATGCTCCATTTCTTTTGCGCACGGCCAGTCCAGTTCATCGCTACTACGCCCCCACACTAAACTCCATGCCCGATGTTAAATACGTGCGAAGTTACCGACAATCAGCAGGGTGCAGTATTAACAACTAACGTTATATTGAAATTAAAAAAAACGTGCGATGTTAACTTAACACAGAAAGGAAGTTACCTATTTAAAGGTAACTAAACCCACTATTACTTATAAATCATACAAAACTCTGCGTGCTGAATGTCTAATGTCAGCGCCATTGTTTTTCGAGCATTTCATAACAGCAGTTTCGCATGTGCGAGTCGGACATGTTGGGTCATGAACATACGCAAACCGACAAGGAAAATCCACAGAAAATTTACTCTAAGTAAAACGAAATAAATCCATAAAACTTTAGCTGTTATAAGATTGCTTAAGGTTACTTCAATTAAGAAATTCTGTAATGTATAACCTAGTCATACCCTATCCTCCCTCAAACATTTACAACATACGTACGAATCGGCAGAATGCGATTTGTCTGACAAATATATTTCATAAATAAAGACATCAAGAGAATCGTGAACTTTGTATCAATTTAAATTTCTGGGAACTACAATATTTTAAGTATACTTCTCGTACTTCTGTCAAGTCTAACCATAAAATATTCTCTTAACAAAATAAAAGACAAAAATAATTATATAACATAATCAATTATTTTTACACCTAATTTAATCTGAATCTCCTAGGTGAACGAGTTAATTAAGCCACAATTACCTCCACATTAGCACACCAACATCCAAAAGCGTCGGCTCCCTTTCTTGCAGCTGTCTTGTCGCTCGTCGGCACTCCGTCCAACCTTCCAATTGGTTCTATAAAAAAATGAGCATCTACAACTCCAGCTGGTTGCTCATGAGATAACTTCTGCCATCTATTGGCGAAGTAAATAAACAGTACACAGCCTGACCCACTTTTGCAGAGGTGAGTAGGGCAGAAGCATGATGTACGGATACCACAGAGAGTATACCATCCACAGAGGGGATACCATCCGTAGCAGGAGCCAGAGCACCGCAGAGCACTGAGCGAGTCTGGCACCCACAGACAAACTTGGGTGCTCTGTGACGGCACCGTATGGCACGAGCTGGTAGAAATCGTGCGATGCGTTTCATTTTCTCTGTATTGCATTGGAACCCCCATACAGCCACCAATGAAAGAACTTACTGCTTGGAGCTGTAATGTTGTGCCTCACGAAATATTGTGGCCATTAATAACTGGATCAACTCAACATTTATAAATAAATTGTTCAAAGCAGAAGTGATAACCAACAATAGTGATGACAAAAAAATAAAGTTAATTAAAAATGTTTACGATAAATCTGCATTACTAAAAATGTGTGTTGTAAAAACGTATGTAATAAGTTAAGAATTTGTAACACCATTGTTTCTTGGGAGTAACACCGGAATTTACTAATTGTCGAAGTCAATTTAAATAGTGACCCTAAAAAATTAATTAATTTAAAAAAGTCTTTTAATAAGTACTTCCTATAAAACACAAATAGTTATCAAACAGGTTTCATATATTAAGGATAATCAAAATGTGATTCATAACAACATTCAAAGACTCTATTCATTATAGAGAAAGGAGACACACTTTGTTTCGGAAAAACTTTTTCTTCCTCATAAAGTTCAATATTCCTTCACCGTATGATCTAATTTCGATTAATGGATCGTATGTTGTGAGGAATACTGCATGTCATGAAAGAGAAAAGGAATCTCTGAAATGTAGTGCATCTATATTTATTATCATGAACAAAGTTTAAGATTCTAATAAATCACACTTTGATTATCCTCAATAACTGGAAGCTGATTGATTATTAACTAATAATTTATAGACAATCATTTCTCCATTAATTCAAAAATACTGCATTAAATGAAACTGTATTAAATGTTACACTTAATATTTAATAATTAAGTAAATATTTTTCTTCATTTTCTTTAAACAGCAATTAATTTTAATTAGATTCTAATGAGTTTTACAATGTCTTTGGTTTTTTTTTTAAAGGAATCTACCCCTACCTACATAACATTGAAATGGCAAAGGTATATAAGTATTGGACCCATTTGTAAAAAACCTACATAGGAACCTAACATTTTTACAGATTTTATATTATCAAATTATATATGATTTTGCCAGATTCTACTATACAAAAATCTACCCTATGTGTTTCCTTGTTTTTAAGAAATAATTTTTATATACTACTAATGATTTTTTTTTCTAAAGAATGCTTTTTTTTACTGAAATTATCTTAATTGGGAAACATTAATACTTTTAGTGCCAGAGGTGTCTTTTTATGTCAAGCAGAGACTGATAGCTTTGTGCAGTTATCATTTATCATTTCTGAAATAATGGGGTATAACATATTGAAAATTGTAGTTTCCAGAATATTTACTTTAAGGAAATATTAAATCATCATAATACAGTATCACATAAGTTATTTAGAACTGTCTTGCCACATATGATCACCCTTCTTTGACCTCTAGCGTGACTTCCAGCATCCTTTCCACCTTCCTGGATGTCTCTTGCTGTTTTGGACATGTGTATTAGATCTGTCTGCATCATATATTCTTAGCTCATCAGTTTTGCAGCCCAATTATTATTTGTTCCAGGATTAATTCCTAGTATTTTGAAAACCTAACACTTCCCAATATTTCCACAATTCAATGTAACATGTATGTAATTGAACTATATATTTTCATTGTAGTATGTATCCTCACAAGTGCAATTTTAGGTAGACCATTCCAAATTATGCTGTTAAAACATTCATTTGGGTTCTGCATCTCCCCATACAGACATATTCTTAAGAAGTGAAGATTTGCTAGGTCTCTAAAAATAGGTTTATTTACTGCAATAACAGCACAAAGAAGTGAATGAGAGATTAAGATTCTCTAGATTCCTGACCTCTTTCATATTAGCTTAAAACTTTTTTCACATTGGACAATTTTTGACAAGACTTATAATTAGAAGAAAACTTATAAAATATATATAGCCCTTCATTGCCTCCAGATTTTTGTTCTTTTTTCCTTACTTTCAAGTTTGTTTTTTTAAGTTTAGTTAACCGATTATCTCCAGTTACAATTTCCCATAGTTCCCTAACACATAAACACATAATATTCTACCCCAACAGCGTATACAAGGGATTCAAGTATCTAGAAGCTATACAGCTGAATTACGGCCTGCTGTCTACAGCTCAGCTCATTTGAAGAACCAGATTAGGCCAGTTTGCATGGAGAGCGATTGGTGTTGAGAAACATTTTGAATGTGGTACAGAGTAACAGTTTTCAATAATAATAATAATAATAATAATAATAACAACAACAACCACAATAATAATAATAATAATAATAATAATAATAATTTAATTTTAGTAATTTTTTATTTATTAATTTTTTAATTACTTATTATTTTTAATTATTTATTAATTAATAAAAATTTATTTTATTTAAAATTAATTTTAACGTCAATCGGTAAAAAGCTAAAGGCCTTAGATGCCAAGACTTCAAACAAACTAATAATAATAGTAATAATATTGGAACAATACATATCAATTCTGTTAGCAAGTACATAAAATTTAACAATAGTAATACATTCAATATTTAAAGCTTGTTAAGCAGGAAAGCTTTCAATTTACTTTTAAATGTATGAATAGTGTTTATGTCTTTAATATCATTGCCTAGTTTGTTGTAAAGTATAATGCCCTCTATTAGGGTACTCTTTTGATAAAGTGTAGTTTCAGAGTGGGGAACATGTAGGTTATACTTTTAACAGGTGTACCAACCAAAAATAATATAATACAATACAAAGAAATGCTTTGTGCGGTTCCAGAGGCAAATTTTGGGAGGGGAAATTTTAAATGTTTAAATCCAACATGCCATATTATAGATTTTCTAACTTGTCACAAGCTACACTTAGCCCATGCTGTGATATGATACATCTCTATACTCATTACTTTCTCTATACCATTGCCCCCAAAAGCCTACGGTTTTCGTTTGTTTCATTCCTTTCTTTGGAAAAATTGATTTTAAAATGCGATCACCGTATTTTCCAAACAAAGATTTTTTGTTCTGTATGAATTCTCTTACCGTCAATTGTTTGAATACATAACTAATACAAAACTTTGAGGGCCCATTGGAAATCAAATCCAGAACCTCGTGCGTGGGAGGTGAATATAGTCCGATTACACTAAGAAGGTCCTCTATGATAGCCTCTGGTAGCTACTGCTGAACAACATAACTGCAGATGATGTCCATGCGCTGAATTCGTCAATGTGTTCGTTTGCAGATTGTTCACTTGCAAAAGAATTTGACACAACTTCCTGCAAAGTCATCCACATCATGACTTTCGATATTTTTTTTTACCACTTGTCAAATTAGACCCTTCTTCTTTTGATTTCTCTGTACAACTGACAATATCACTGCATAAAATTAAGTAAGTAAAGATTCAATATAGACTTTTAATAAATAAATTTTTAAATAATTTACATCAATTGTTTACATTACTGTTCTGAGTTTTGAAAATTTATGTCCGCCATTCGTTGAGGGTGCAACCTCGAGTTTGTTGATGCACCAGCAGGCAATGGTTAAGATTGCAGATGCCGGTGACATACCTTCCAGCTCTATCCGCGTTTTAATTTCGTCTATTCGGACCTGCACAGACACGTCTAGCAGCCCGGAAGAGCGAGAGCACCGACGCGCAGGTACCCTTGCACAGCGTCAACAAGATGGACGTCTGTCCACCCATCATACGTAACACTCGCGCGCAGACTACAAGCAGACCACGGCGCATTCGCTCCCTCAGAAAGGCCAACAGGGACACGCACAGCCCCACCGACAGCACCACGAACGGCCCGACGAGCTGTTTGACACCCAGCGGGTCGGGCATGAACACCGGTTCCACCAGTATTTGTCCGTTCAGGGCTCGCAAATGCCGTTGCGCTGACATCCAATGCCGGTACAATCCAGCCTCCACGACACGTTGAACGATGGCGATAAATTTTTCAGTGAAATAATGATTTCGTCTCACTTTGTACGTGTGGTGCACCGGAGACAAGAAAGATTCCTTCACTTGGTGCACATTTCCATAGATTTTTCCAATGGAGTCGATAAGAGATTCGTACACCTGTTGAGATGTAACAATTGCTGATCGGTTTCCGGCAGCGATTGCTTTGAAGATGCTTTCAACTTCGTCGACGTATTTGAAGTTAGCCAATTTATTAGCAAAATGAAACTCGTTGGCGCTGCTTTCTTTATCTTGTAGCATTTTAATAACTTGTTTGTAGGCATAGATCCGATCAACTGATTTTGTGGCATCTCTGATGGTGTTCGGGTCTGGGTAATGGACAGGAACCGTGAGGAACCCCAGAAGCAGTCCGCTGTAAGCACTGCCAAGCAACAGCCCAAGGGTAATTGTACACAGCGCGGCAACGCGTTCGGAACCTCGGAGTCTGTGGAAGGCGGTGTAACCTGTGACGAGCATCTGTATGACATCCAGAACAGCTTGGACCGGGGCCCCTATGGTCAAAGACCGAGCGTAAGGAGATGCGGTTGTTCCGAGAGCGTGGGGAGCGCGGACGTATGAGGCGGAGCGTACAACCAACCAGGCGAAAGCCAAGATAAAAACCGAGACACCTACGGTGGCCCATAACTTGCCTGCGAAGGGAAGTAGAACAACTAGTGAGAATGGCACACGTGGACCTTTTCTTATGTACATGTACAGGTCGTTTTGGAGAACGCTGACAGATTGATCGATTCCGGAAGTTTTGAAAACAATCGAGCTTTGTATTGTAGCAATATATGATACTTTTGGATCGTGTAGTCCGCTGGTTATTATATTCCCCACAGTTTGTTCCCTAACAATATCCATGATTTTCGCATCTGGACCGTCAGAATGCATAACTCCTTTTTTGTCTCTCCAACTAATAGCAAGATGAGAAGATTTGTCAAAAAAAAAATTGTAAGACGGGGCAATACGCCGGTGTAACACTTCAGCGTCACTACCGTTAAAATGATCACAAAAACTCCAAGTTGGGAAACCGTGAAATGTTATTGGCACTGAAATTGTAGAAACAAAAGATCTACGATACTGTGAATAAATTGTGTAGATTAAGGATTCCCGATCTTTGCCAGGTC